ATCACAGTTCAAGTTGGCAAACTTTCCACAATACCCCAAAAGTCTAACTCTCCACTGTTCCAAAATCTCAACTCTCAGCCTATTAAAGCCTCGTAAAGTCGTTTAACTTGTGACAAACTCTATCATTAGGTAGCACTCCAGTTATCGCCATAGGTAAATATGGCCAATTCTTGTTATTTGCGGTAATCTCGTTCTATGAAATCTCCATGAACACTGAATTAGTGAATACAGAAAAACTGTTCCTATGGGAAATACAGGATTAGGTTCCTTCGAGCCTCTGGTCACATTTTTGCCAACTGCTCAATCATAACCTTCTGTTATGTGTGTTTCTGTTTAAAGACACTTTATTCAATCTCTATTGTTAACTTATTAATGCTGAACTCACAGCCAACGGCACTATAACCCAAGCCTGAATGAAGCTTATCTGACCCACTTGTTACTCCCACAAGGCACAGCACAGCCTTCTCAGCTGAGAACATAAGACAGCAAGCATCTCAGCGCCACACTCGGGGGCCGTTTTAAACAGCCACAAAAGCACACAAATGTGAAAAAACATGGCACTAAATAGGTCACAAAAAGCACACTTGCTTATGGTATGAGAGCTGAAACAAAAAGGCAGCGTAGTGCCTTATCTGCCCTCAGCTGGGAACTTGTGCCTTGGGAGATGCCAATTTTTCCCCACCCTGCACATGCCCGCGGAAGTCAGCGGTACTGATTTGGGGGTTACAATTAAAGTGTGGCAAGTAGGCAAATTTGTAAATAAGGAATACACAAATGATGAAGATGGATTGCATCTGGTTATCAGACCTGAGGCATGAGACACAGAAAGTGCATTCTACAAGGTTTTCCTCCTTTGCAAAAGAGGTATTATACCCTATCCCAGGTAGAAAGAATTTTTCTGGTTTCAGCATCTCCTGCACTACTTCCCTTCCTAACTTGGCAGTTTGTACCATCAAGATTTGGCAATCCAGTTCCTAAGTCAGTGTGTGGGTGGGTGGGTGTGTTTAATGTGGACAGATCCTAAACGGCTACAGACTGATTAGCGGCATTTGCTCCACTCTTCTGTTAAAGTCCACAGAGACTTCATGAACTTTGGATAGGCTCCAGGAAAAAATCACAAATGAGCCTCAGTTAACACACCTGGCAGAAACTTCTTAATACACACACAAAAAACTTTCTCTTTTACCAGGTCCTTATAGCTGCAACAGCTCATCTAACACAGGCAATAAACAGACAACTTGATATGGTAAAATCACCACACAGTGTCAGTTTTAGTTACACTAAAATTTTCTCTTGTATTTGACTTTCACCTCCTGAACTTACAACTTTTAATATTTCAGCCAGTCAAAGTCACAAAAAACTTTCATTATTGTTCCTCTACTTATTAAGGCAAATTAAAAGGTCCACAGCAAGCAAACTATCCAAGAGAGACACCTAGAAGAGACACCAAGTAAAATCTTCCTTTGGATTTGTTTTGGCAACCACCAGAGGGTGGTAACAAGGTTAACTCCAAAAGGAGCTGAAAGGAATTTCCCATTACAGAACATTCAAAAGTGAACGTGTTTCATAACTATCATGTCTGTAAGAAGCATTAAAGTTGTAAGGTAAAGTCACAGTTGTAAATCAGTTGAAGGAAGCGGCAACGACTGTGTTTATAAAGCTCTTTCAAATCTTCAAAGGCTTTTATAAATAACATAACACAAAATACTTTCAAAGCACATTATCCCCTGTAATTCCTGAAACAGTGATGTATTGGAATGGATATTATCACCCTCTTACGGAAAAAAAAAAAAAACACAATAGGTAACTTTTTCGGGTCACAAACCTAGTAGGTAATATAGATGGGAATCGAACTCAAGTCTCCAGAAATTAAAAGCCAGAGCTGTTTTTACTACAACATTCACAGTTTTGGAATGTAGTCCATAGTTATTTATAGCAGAATTATCTCCTTAATTGTATTGTGTTTTGGTCAACATAAAAATTAGTTTGCATTCTCTTCAAAATGGAAAGCAGAGGCAAACTGCCCAGAAGTGTGGAACAGCAGTGGTGGGGAAAATCAGCCTGGGATTAAAATTTTGCAAAAGTTAAACAACAAATTGAGGGGTTTACATCATTCCCACCCTGAGAGAGAGGACTTTTCAGCCAGATGCACCAGGAGCTGCACAAGAAAAAAAAAAACCCACAAAACTGCGTCTTGAATACAAGACAAAAAATTTCTGAGGAAAGTATCTCTAAACCCATTATTTAAACTTACAGCACTGAGATTTAGAAATGATAAATAGCTTGTCCCAAGATCACAGCATCAGGACGGCCTCAGTGGAGCCGACCCCAAAGGTCTCTTTAAACTGTCCCTTCCACTCCCCTGGCAGTCACGCGCAGACTCTTCATTAGCTGCAGGCAGGAAACAATCAACACCGTACATCTGTGGATTTAGAGACTAGAGCAAAGGGTTAAAGTTTGGTATGCAAAACTGACCTTCAAATCCTAATAGGCAAATTAGCATTTATTTTTTGTCTTTGAATGTTCAGAGGAAACAAATGCACGCCTGCTTTTTAGTCAAGGTGGGCTTGGGTTTAGAAAAAGGTATTAAAACTCTACAAAGTGGGAAACAGTGCCTTTCCAATAGAGGGGGCAATGAGCTGCTGATAAAAACTAGAAGAGCTGCTTCCACCACCACCCCCCCCACGCCCCCTGCGCCAGGCTGCTGGTTCTTATTACCACAGAGGAAATAGAACTAGCAAACATGCAGCATCGACGATCAAAGTGAAACCGATTTTTTGTAATCATCTAGCTTCAACAGACATGCCAGTAAAGCACATAAAAACTAAGTTAATAGCCCCAGCAAGTGCTGTCATCATAACGTAAGACATTTAAATGTCTCAGTGTGATGAATCAAAGGAGACTTTAAGCAAAACAAACAGGGAAAAGACCTCGGCTTTTCAGCGAGGCCTCAACAAGGTGCAGTAAGAGTGTGCAGTCCTGTTTTGGGGACGGGGCAGGAAGCACACGGAGAGGAAAGGGCCCCGTCCACAGTCCCGCACCGCAGCCGTCCCCTGTGACTGGCCAGGACAAAGGAGATGCAGGGCGCGGGGCCCCCGAACCCCTGGACGCCCTCCACTCGGAACCCCTCCGGGAACCCCACCAGCTGCCCCGCGAGGACAAGCCGCCTCCTCCCTCCCGGAGGGCGCCCCCGGTCCCGCTCCGGGTGCACCCACCCCTCATGTCCCCGCAAGCCAGCCCTCACCGAGCGCGGGTCCCGCCCCGCATACCCGCTTCTTCTGCACTCACCGCCCGGCGCCTCCGGGCGCGCCCGGCCTCGGGCCGGCGGGGCCCC